GGTCTCGCTGCTCTCACACATGCACACATTGCTGCAACACCAGGGTGCAGCTGCTACTTCAAAGCATGGGGATCCCTTATCAACTCATTGTGTCCGCTTCAAGTAACACTTTCTGTGGGGAATGGCCACGCACTTTGATGAACCATACGCAGCAGCTGTGACGACTTCTGTTGTTTAAAGATGTGCACATCTACATCTGTTTGATAATAAACACCTCTATGCTTTCATACAGAACACGAAACAGATTCTTCTGTTACGATGTATGTAACTTGTAGCTTCCTCGAGATGTACAAAATGTACCGTGATAGCTAGAGCGGGATGTTATGGATAATATACATCTATGTGGTAAGGTGATGATACAATACATATCTCAGTGGTAAGGTTGTTTTACATTGTATCGGTTCTCCAATGGAATGTATTCCAATATATGTTATCTTATCTTATTGATGGTAAGGTATGATATATTGAGAATACTGTACTCATTCTCGTTAGATACCATTTTTACAAATGGAGTTGACTTTCTATGGTAACTGACTGAGTAAAAATTAAAGCGATGTCAAATATCATAGAAGGTTCATGAGTTTTGTAAAAAATGGTATCTGACAAGAATGAGTGTGGTATTTTATTTATTACCCTTGTTAAATGTGTATTTTAGTGTCAATACTTAACAACTTTCATTTGTTAACAGGCCAAACTGAAAGTGATTGCAAATCTGGTTGTGCATGCATATTGATATATGCCCAAATATGGGCATTTTTTACATTTCTCTACATGCACATTAACAACATGTTCCTGCTGCTGTGTGTGCAAACATGACAGCACCCACACTCAAGATCTTTATTTTAGTATTTTTGTTTGTCATTCAAGTGCATTGTTATTAGTACGCAGGACGATTGTAAGAAAACTTAAATATATAAACAGTGCTACAATTTTAATCTCGGACCAAAAGTCGATCACTTGCATAATACCTGGATCCCAGCATCGCAGTCATAATGGTTTGTTCGGTTTCCATCATCTATCAGCTGAATTTATATCCTGTCTGTACCATTGTGCTAGCCAAAGATGTTAAAATTAACTGTATGATCCTATACTGAAGAAGTGAAAACCATTATCGATCAGGAGGTTATATGAAGTGTATATTGATGGTAAGGTTATGATATGAAATGTATATCGATGGTAAGGTTATATGAAGTGGATATTGATGGTAAGGTTATGGTATAAAATGTATATCGATGGTAAGGTTATGATATGAAATGTATATCAATGGCAAGGTCATGGTATAAAATGTATATTGATGGTAAGGTTATGATATGAAATGTATATCAATGGTAAGGTTATGATATGAAATGTATATCAATGGTAAGGTCATGGTATAAAATGTATATCGATGGTAAGGTTATCATATAAAATGTATATTGATGGTAAGGTTATGATATGAAATGTATATCGATGGTAAGGTTATATGAAGTGGATATTGATGGTAAGGTTATGATATGAAATGTATATCAATGGTAAGGTCATGGTATAAAATGTATATTGATGGTAAGGTTATGATATGAAATGTATATCGATGGTAAGGTTATGATGTGAAATGTATATCAATGGCAAGGTCATGGTATAAAATGTATATTTAATGTAAGGTTATGATATGAAATGTATATCAATGGTAAGGTTATGATATGAAATGTATATCAATGGTAAGGTTATGATATGAATTGTATATCGATGGTAAGGTTATGATATGAAAAGTATATCAGTGGTAAGGTTATGATATGGAATGTATATCGATGGTAAGGTTATGATATGGGATGTATATCGATGGTAAGGTCATGGAATAAAATGTATATTGATGGTAAGGTCATGGTATAAAATGTATATCGATGGTAAGGTTATATGATATGTTGATGGTAAGGTTATGATATGAAATGTATATATCAATGGTAAGGTTATGATATGGAATGTATATTGATGGTAAGGTCATGGTATAAAATGTAGATTGATGGTAAGGTCATGGTGTGATACATGAAAACTCCTCATGCTCAGGAACTTTTTGCCATTGCCAACGTGAAAGAGGCCATACGCATTTAGTATGGTTACAGAGCTATTTTAATTACTGTTAGTAATGAGTATTCAAGCACTCCTTTAACATGAGTATGGCTTTACACTTCAGTGAAAATCTTTCTTGCTCCAGCATTGAGACTAATTGTTTTGGATGGCACAGATTGTTACAACTGTATTGACACATGACCTCTCGACATGATACTCACAAGCCAGAATATAGAGACACTTCAGTGGATCCTTGTCAAGCCCAAGCAGACAGATTATTCTTTGTGTTCCTGATTTTCTGCAGCTGTATAATTGCAATTTAAGGAGGACATAAATGATTAGATAAATGAGTATTTGAATGTGTTAATTTGGATTTTCCCTTCAGAGAATTCCACGTTAGTTGTCAATGAAGTTTAATGTTAGCTGTCAATAAAGTTAAGTGCTATTTGCCATGTAATCTTGACAAATTTGCTATTTGTAATCATGACTAATTTAATTCTCGCAAATGACTGATTATCTTAATTGCATTTTATTTGTGTTGTGTATGGTACGGTATTGCAGTCATAACTTAAATTTCGTAAGTTTGAGACTTGATATTGTAGAACACTTGACTTAGGCCTATGCCCTAAGTTTCTCAAAACTTGATTGAAACTAGCATTCTGCAGGCAGGGAAATATCGCTGGTTTTCAGAGGGGAAAAAAAGTGTATAAAAAAGTAAATGCTGATGAAGAGTGCCATAAAAAAGTATATCTCCGTGAGATAAAGCAGTGCTGATTTCGCCGAGTGCAATTCTACCCATGGCTCTATTTATGCAATGCTAGGCTGAGCCTCAGCATCATACTTAACCCTTTCTGTTGAAGTGTCGTCAGTCCATGCAGAGCATATATTTAGTACAACAATCACATGCCCATTCCGCTTTCATCCCCTCCTCAGAACGCACCGCCTATGCTCATCCCCTCCTCAGCTCAAACAGCCTATGCTCATCTCTGCAGCTCGCACAGCCTATGCTCATCCCCTCCTCAGCTCGCACAGCCTATGCTCGTCCCTTCCTCAGCTCGCACAGCCTATGCTCATCCCCTCCTCAGCTCGCACAGCCTATGCTCATCTCTGCAGCTCGCACAGCCTATGCTCATCCCCTCCTCAGCTCGCACAGCCTATGCTCATCCCCTCCTCAGCTCGCACAGCCTATGCTCATCCCCTCCTCGGCTCACACAGCCTATGCTCATCCCCTCCTCAGCTCGCACAGCCTATGCTCATCCCCTCCTCAGCTCGCACAGCCTATGCTCATCCCCCCCTCAGCTTGCACAGCCAATGCTCATCTCTGCAGCTCGCACAGCCTATGCTCATCCCCTCCTCAGCTCGCACAGCCTATGCTCATCCCCTCCTCAGCTGGCACAGCCTATGCTCATCCCCTCCTCAGCTCACACAGCCTATGCTCATCCCCTCCTCAGCTCGCACAGCCTATGCTCATCCCCTCCTCAGCTCGCACAGCCTATGCTCATCCCCTCCTCAGCTCGCACAGCCTATGCTCATCCCCTCCTCAGCTCGCACAGCCTATGCTCATCCCCTCCTCAGCTCACACAGCCTATGCTCATCCTCTCCTCAGCTCGCACAGCCTATGCTCATCTCCTCCTCAGCTCGCACAGCCTATGCTCATCCCCTCCTCAGCTCGCACAGCCTATGCTCATCCTCTCCTCAGCTCGCACAGCCTATGCTCATCCCCTCCTCAGCTCGCACAGCTTATGCTCATCTCTGCAGCTCGCACATCCTATGCTCATCCCCTTCTCATCTCTTGACTTGAGGATTCCCTCATGGAGGTATTATCCCCCACCATGAAGTAGAAATGGATTACAGTAATTGGTGCTGTCCGTCTGTCCTTCCATCCGTCTGCATCATCTCGTTTCCAGAGCAGAACTAAAAAACCATGGGAGATAAAACTTGGCGCATAGATAGGTCTAGTGGTGAACTGGTGCCTTTTCATAGTTTGGAATTTTAAAAAAAAAAAAAAATTGAGTTTCCATGGCAACGATTTTTGACTTAGACAGAAAATGGCGGTATTGGCTGCAAATATGTGTATTTCATGCTTGTTTTTATCGAAACGTACACATAACTTCATTTCAGATACTTTGTGTTTGTCTTAAGTGACCAATGACTGTGGAGTACCTGCATGTGATTTTATCAAAACCAGTCAAGATGATAAAAAAAAGTTAAGTCAAGCTAGCAAAATTAATGTACTTTTATAAACAACAGAAATATATGAGAATTTATTGTGCAAAAAACAATTTCATGTTAGTCTGTAGGTCCATGTTGATATTTATTTGGAATTATATCAAAATCTTGTTGAATATAAACATTTGTAATTGCTTGATGTGATGTTATGGAGTTCATTGCAGAGGTATCTTAATCATTATACTTAACTGAGTTAAAATACTCAGGTGAGATAGTTATGTGAATTTCTTTGCTAAACCAGAAATGATCAGGTAGTCTAGTTTTTAAAATCATTTGTTTGCATGCTCAAGTTCAATTCTTTTTCTTAAGATTAATGAACAAAGAAATTAAACAAATTTTGGAGGTTAAATGTTTTTACTTCAAAACCACTCTTTCCAAAACCATACTCAAAGGTTGTCATGATAGCAAACAATCTGACATTTATACACCGGTGTCTGTATTACTAATTATGTTATAAAGGTTAAAGTGCTTGCATATCTTTACATACCAACTCACTCAATAGTCATTCTTAATTATTGAGGGTAAACAGCTAATGATTTGGAAGTGGTTAACCTGTCTGCCTCAGTCATGCTTACACCTTCAAAAGTTAAAAATAATTTGAGATTTAACCACTTAAGGGTTAATGCATTTGTCAGCAGCATACCTACAAATCCAGACTGTCAATAATCATCCAGTTTGAAGCAGATAAGGTTAACCAGTTACAAAGGGTTAACCCGTCTGCCTCAGTCACGTCTGCTGTGGATATAACTCAAACAGGCAGACGCACAACAAGTGAATGAAGTCTGCAGGACAAGACATTGAGCTGGGTGGGAGATTCTTCTCTTTGTCCTGCTGTAATTGCTTCAGAATAGATTGTAGGGGACAGTGTGGCCCCTCCTTGGTTTGGAGCAGCAGATAGGGTCTAGCCCCACATCCCAAGACTTGTCCTTTGGGAGATTACCAGCCATAGCTGAAGGATAGTTTACGATTTCTGGTGAGCTGTCTGTCCATGTGGTGATATTTGCTCTGGTAGGTGTCATGAATTTGTGTGTTTGTTTGTTGATTATGGCCTGCTATTGATGTTGGTAACAAGGCTTAATGAGAAATGGTAGTCGCGTACTGTCACTGACTATTTTTGCGAATCCTCTTCTTTTTGCAGGATGAATGGAAGGATGACTATTTGAGATGTGTTTCTCGTTTTTGACTAAAGCATCTTTTTTTTATCACACTGCTTTTGAAGTGCCTTAAGCTTCCAAGCATAATTGACTATCTCTGGTGTCTCAATTGCCTTTGTATTTATTATCCAAGTAATTTCAAAGTTTATCCAGTGATATGCCATAAAGCTCTTCTAAGCTAACTTAAATAGCACTATGGGTTTCCAATAAAGATATTTCAGTAGCCATGTTTCTCCACCCATGCTAGATATTTGTGTTAGCGATAAGAGAGCTTTGTAGTGAGTCAATATGGAGTATCCGTGTATATTTTGTTAGTTATGTGTATGACCTTAACAACATTTATACATGTGCTGTGTGTTGACTCAGCACTGTCTCATGCACTCATAATACATGTGGTTATTTTTACAGGAAAAAATAGCATAAATTGAATTTACATTAGCATTCTAATCTTTTGATGAAAATGCTTTAGAAGAACCAACCTCATCCAAAGATCATGAATAAGAAGATTCTTTTGATTTCTAAATATCTCCTTACATTCATAATATCAACAGCTTTTTGTGGATAGTTTATTTTAACACACATGATACAGAGAACATACTATTTTCTTGTATGTTGGTAAATTAAAAAGTATCACTTTGAAGTGGTCTGTGTTGCTCTGGTTAGAATGCCAGTTTTTTCTAAAAGGCTTCAGTTCAGAAGTTGCCTGAGACCTAACTGTGACAACTATAGTTAGCAATGTAGTTTTTGTTTCTGTCTATATCTGGTACCACTTGACATTTCCAACATAATGTATTTTCTCTATGCGTGACATTTATAGTAGAAAAAGAGTAGCATTCCCCTTTTCTGTTAACAATGTGGTTAAAATGCACCGCAAGGTAAATAAATATGACCATATTTGTGTAAAGGCATGCTTTCAAATGTTCAGTGCACAATGGTATAGTGGTCATAGTGTTCCTTACATTATATGTACATATACCTTCCACCAAAGGCTGCATTGCACATAATGTTCTGATTCACCAACCCAATTTGGGGGAATGGTGCCAACAGTGTTAATGTCCAAAAACTAGCAAATACAACCTACATCCTGCATAAATGGTTGTAGTCTGTCAAAAAGTTAATTCTAAAGCTGACAACGAAAGATAACCCTAACTTTGAAAAGCCAAGAATGCACTCATTTTATTCTTACATATTAGGTTATATTTGATTTTGTATTCTTATCATCTAGGCTTAAAAAAAATAGTTTTGGTTCTCAGGTACCACCCGCATCATCATAAAGCCTGCCACACGTTTTGTTTTTATTTTCATTTTCAAAAAAAATATAAAAATCTTAATACTTAAACATAATTCACAAAAACAAACTGAAAATGAAAACAAAAAACGAAACGTGCAATGAACTTTATGATGATGTGGGCAGTGCCTGAACCAAGACTATTATTTATTTTGGCCTCATTGTGCTCCTGTATAGCAGTGACATGGTAGGAATGTTGCTGTTACAATGTTGAACCATGCCCACACCTCTCACCGTGTACTTAGATTGAAGAAAGTTTTCAGTACCTGAGTCTCTATGCTGGAGAAGAAATGCTGATTCAGCATACATACACAGTCACTCGAGAAAGAGAAATTACAAATGTTAAATATTATGTATTAATATTGTTATATCCGTGTTCGATCTTTATGGTTGCAATGCTGATAAAGGTGAACGTCTTTCCTGATTTAGTTGCAACAATGCAGGTACACCTTGGGATGTTACCTGTAATATCAGGTGTAGTTGCCCCTCAACTAAATACCTGTGTGTATAACCAGTGGATAAAAGACTGCGGCAGACTAATTTGATTTACCTTCCCATGAGATAAAAGGGGCAACTGTTTCTTGATAAAGGGGAATTTATGGCCCGTGATCTTTGCCTATGAAAGGTTCTCTGTGAACATATCTTGTACATATGTCATCACAAAGATGGGAATACAGGTAATGGCTGTATGTGGGCCACAGGTGTAATTTGGAAGCATTCAAACGGCCATGTGACTGCGGACTTCCAGAAGGATTTATGTCAGTGAATAATAGTTAGACACATTCATCTTCTCAAAGTCTTTGTGTGCTTAAATGTGGTATATGGTTATCGTTTTCATTTGAAAATTTGTACACGGTTAGGCATTTTGTTAACTACTTTATATCTGCCAAAAATATTCTTCAAATTTAAAATTGCTCTCACCTCATCAGATTGGAGAGATCAAGTGTTCAAAATATCTTTTTTTGTTGTCATAATCAGAAATAAAGATGTCTCAAGGGCAAATTAAAATATTTTTTGTTGGATTTGACTTAAAATGAGTATTGACTCATGCAAATTTGTACAAATAGCTTTTACTGATAACGACTTTGGAAAATGTGAAGACAATAAAAATGCAATTAACTCCAGGATATAAACACAGCACTTGAAGCAAACCTTTGCTTTACCCAGCATGCCATCTGGTCACTAAGTGCCACTCATCCATTGCAACCATTCATAATAATCCTTGACCCTAAAGCCTCTTCTGTGGTTCATTTTATGTGCCTGTCCCCCACGACCACCCCCACCCCCAAGCCCATCCCCGCCACTTGGTATGGGTCATATTAAGTGCTGCCACCTTCATCCTCTCAATCTCTTCAATATCCTCGTCCAAGCCCTGTCAGCACCTCTCCTCGAGCCCCCCCACAACCCCTTTCCGTTAAAGGGTTTAAGGTAAGTGGCTCTTCCTCCAACCCATGGCTGTTACTTCAAAAAGATCACTCTTTCATTACTTTCATTTCATGTGCACTCCTTCGACCCTTCTTCGAGGGTCAGGTAGTCCAGTTGTTTATGTGTCTGCTGGTCAAACAATTAGGTTCAAGTCCGTAGTCTGTTGCTTTGTGTGAAGGCCATTCTTGGTCCTCCCAACGATGATACTGCTGCATCAGTGAAGTCTTTGATAGGCACTTTTGAAGTTTGGGGACCATGAATACCATGATAAGAGATTGTTGCATCAGTGTTTTGAGGTGTAAAACCCAACACACTCCGGTGACTCAACACTCGAGCCAAGCATGAATCTCACACATGACCAGCTAATCAGTCCTGTAATCAATTAATATAATGTTTATGTAGAACTAAGCTTTACAGCAGGCCTCTTGTCTGAAGGTCTCGTTTGATTCGTTTTTGTATGATCTCATTCAGAACAATTGACTTGTGGAGTTGCATGAACAAGCGCATGCAAGGGCACACACACACTCCACACGACCACCACCCTCTCTTCACTAACCCAGCTGGTAGACCATCATCCCCACCCCTCTCCAGACCCAACCCCCTGCCCTTACCCCACAGGTGCCCCTTCCAATACACGTATACTATCCAAAACAGAGTTAGGTATAAGGTTAAGTCAAAAGAATTCTTTAAAGGAACATTCCAGTATAAAGGAATCACTTAATTTCTGCTTTAGCTTTGAAAATGGGATGAGTATAGCTTGGCTGCTAGAGGGGAGAAGTTTGATGGGGGTGAATGTTTGGTCTACAAGAGAAACCACATCACCCCCATCCCTCTCCCCACTGGAAGACCATCTTTCCCCATCTTCCCGACTCAAGGGAGTAACAGTAACAGTCCAGTTACCACTCTTGCCAAACTACACTGGTATTTCTGGGCTCGATCATTGCACCACCAGTGACTATTACGAGTTATGTCCTTTTATTTCCCTCCTATTGACCAATCAGATTCCACCTTTCACATCACTTGGAAGTGAAGACGATCTGATCTATAATCAAGATCTATTTTGTAATAACATTAGCCTTACTTCGTAAAGTGCATCAAATGAGGTGAGCACCTTGATTAAAAACATGAAAACATTTAGAAAATATCTGCTGATGTTTAGATGTTGGTACACATGCTTTGCAAGTCCTGCAATCGAGCGAAATCTGCATGGCAGTCGACGAACTGGATTTTGATTTTGTTACACGATTTTGATTGGACGATACATGGACATTTTAGTCCAGATAGTCCAGCCAAAATAACTCCATAATTGCAGCCAAGTTCGGCAAGGGTGGAATTGTCAGTTAACTCCCTTGCCTCAAGAAGATGGTCCCTCCCCCTCACTGTTTCCCCCTCCTTCCCCTCCATGGGGTCCCCCCCCCCCCCCCCCCCCCCAGCAGTGGCTCACAGCCATCTGTGAGTGAGACCCCTGTATTCCATCAGTACGTTATGTAAGGCTTGTCGGCTCAGGCCAGCCTCATTACCAGCTCTATCAAGCCACTTAGATAATGACACTCACAAATCCAGTTGATGGATCTACAGGGAAGGGGGAGATAGAATATGACAAAATATGTGCTTCACGGTAAGGGCTAGCATGCAACCCGCACCAGCTGGCGATAAGGACGTGTGATGCTGGGACGGCATCTTTGAAACAGAGAAACATTTACAACAGTGTAACAAGTAGACTAACATGAACCTTTTTTTACCGAAATTTGTTATTTGAATTAATTAATTAGTCAAGTAAAATTATAGGAACTTTCTTCCTGAAACCGCATTAAATCCAGATTTACCAAATATTATAGACTTGCATAGGCTGTGTTGGATATATATTTGTTTTAGGGTCTGTTGTTAAATTATAGTTATAAAAATATAATAAAAAGGAAAACAGGGACCCTCTTCATTTTTAGAGACGAAACAAAACAGTTTTTAACATCATGAGCATCGATCCATGCAATTGGGATACGATGACATGCTTCAATCAAGTCAACGAGCCTGACCACCCGATCCCATTAGTCGCCTCTTACGACAAGCATGGGTTGCCGAAGACCTATTCTACCCCAGATCTTCACGGGTCAGAACCTGTATGTACTCAACTGCTTCAGAGGCCAAAGTTAGAATGTTAACATCAGCAGTCCAAGATGAGGAAGAATAAAGTCAATCTTTACCTTTTGCTGGACAAACAAATATAATTTGGTAGTGAACATTGGGAGGAGAATTTATGGATGTCATCTTCTTTATTATAAGGAACGCATAAATGCTCTTCCTTATGTGTATCACTTCTAAATGCCTTTCAAAGTTTACATTATTTTGATAAGGCTGCACAATTTGTTGACATAATAAGATTTGATTGCTAGGTTGAAATTACCAATCATTCATTACCAATCTTATTTTTTTCCCCGCTGGCAATATCACCAAGAATAACTGTAAATCATCACAATACATCACACTAGAACATTCAAAAAAGACAATTAAATTATTTTGTTCACGTATGTGCTCCATAGTAAACAGTTCGGAAGGCCCAGTTAGGCATGTAATGCATGTTGGTTAGCTGGCAGCATCCTTTGAGCTTCTATCACGCCATCTTAAACAAAGCTTATCTGCATGTTTGGTAAACACCGCTACACATCACGGCTGCTCCTCACGCCTTGACTCTAATAGGATTAGCTCCTAATGCTGGTGCAGCCAGTGTGAGATTAAATGGAAACAATGTTATCCATATAATCGCCATTATTTACAGCCATGGACCTCCCTCCAGAATTTGTTGCAACTTGACTTGGTCTTTTGTGACATGTGATTTCTCCTTGATGCTAGTGATCAATTAGATTGGAATGACAACTGTTGTGTGACAGCTGATTGATCTTTGTTGTCAATTGTTTGTATCTGAATAATGATTGTTCATGTATGACAATTGATTCTGCCTATACAACAATTGATTGTGTCTGTGTAATGGTTGATTTTATCTGAATTATGGTTGTTTGTATGTTTGTATTCATTCTTATTGTGCAAATAAATGAATCCGGTTTTACGGTTGATTTATTAATTATGAAAGTATGAATTTCATCTTTACTTTCAAATTTCAAATTTATATTGTATACGAACAATGCAAATTTATTGTTTATTATGTTGATTTTTTTTAATGAATCAGTTACAGTGGATGATAATGTTTAAAATTATTTGCCAGTATTGACATTTTAGTGAGTAAGTATGTGATATCTTTGAGAAATGGCTTTAAATCTTAACAAGCAAACAATTACCATTTCGTGTCAACAGTTGCTTAGGATTTGCCCAACCATGTGACTAAACAGTTGCCGTAAAAACGATAAAAGGCAGACATTTAAAAATAAACAGCAACTAAAGGGGGGAGAAAAGAAGGGCGAAGCTAGGATCATTTAGGGGAATGTTTCAACAAAGTTGAAACGAAGTTGAGGCAGATTTGCTAAGCAGGTGCGTGCAGTATCTACTGACAAAAAGCATGCGCAGTATAAACAGGGTGCAGATTTGTGCGTCCGCACAGATAACTGCAAGTCAGTGATGCCTGCAGGTTAATGTAATCTTCTCAGCTGTGTCTGACTGACAGTATATATAACCCTTGAGCCTTAAAGATTCACCCTGTGCCATACCTAGGTCGACTCAATACAGATAAGCTATTTATTTTGAGAGAAAAAAGGGAGAAACTTGTGATAATTAGACTGGAATGCTGCATTCTTTTTCAGCAAGTTTCAGCCGATCAGGTTAAAGATCGAATGCTTTGGTGAATAACAGCATTCTCATTGGAAAACTGTAAATTATATTATTACCCTATGTAATATGCCTGGATGCCAGTGTGATGTGGCCCAGTCGTCTAAGGCGCCGCGATTCGCTGTGCAGAGTTGCGTCCCTTGGACACACCAGAAACCTATGATTGTGGGTTCGAATCCCGGTTTGCCCCGAATTATGTTTCTAGGTTTGTCAGCACCATACCCGTGCTCGTGGGTTTCACCGAAGTGGTAAACGTCTGAGACCTGCATCACTTCGGGCTTTCCTACGCCATTAAGCTGACCCGCCGTGATGTAACTGAAATACTGTTAAAAGTAGCGTTAAACCCAACTCACTCACTCTTACATTATGATTAGTCTCATGTATACAGAAAAGAAATGTCCTTATTTCATTAGATATGGTAAGAAATTGTTGATCTTATAGTGCTAAACATTATCCTTGTTTGAATATTTCCTGATATCAAATATTCAATATCCCATGGCAATTTAATTTATTTAAAAGCACCATCCTTATGCAGTGAAGGGAATCAATAACTTGTGTTCATTTTTTATGGTACCGAAGGGCTGTGAAACAAGCAAGGATTACTTCATCTAATCTTGTTTTTTTATTGACATTCTTGATCGAAATGTATTCAGGGCTTATGAAAAGAATTATGAGGAGATTAAAATATGACTGACCTAATAGGGTGGGGGTATATTGTTATACCAAGGAATTCCATCTGTCCGTCCTGAGGACATTTTTGGGTGCGACCTATAAGTAAGAAACTACTGATTCTTTTCAAAATTGGTGAACATTTTCTATACTAATAGGAGAGGTGCAGTATGAAGATTGTTTTGAATATCTAATTTTCATTTGTTTACTTTTTTTTTCTGAAACATTTGTGCAACCTATAACTTGAAAGCTACTTCATGGATTTTTTCAAATTATGGAACAGTTTCTATACCAATAGGAGAGGTGCGGTGATTTTGATTGTGGATTTTCTGAGGAAATAATCCTTTTTCATGATTTGAACTTGGAAATATATTGGAGTTGAAGTCAGGTGTATTAGTGAGCCTGCTCACTGTTTGTCTTGTGTGTAGATTATCAGTCACATCTACATGTATTGCACTCACATGAAATGTTTTCAAAGGAACTGCCTCACAATATTCACAGATGAATTCTGAAAGACTCAAGAATACCTTTTGCATTGAAGTAAAGAAGAAAACGTTGTAACGATGAAAAACGTCAGCTGTTTAAATTTCCTTTTTCGTGTTAGGATCAGATTTTAAATATGGCTAACATTTTATGTCTGCTATCAGGGAGATTTCTCTGAGCGTGTTGCGAGTTTGATAAGGTGGGTCACCCCAGTCCATACACAGGCAAATGTTCTGAAGAAACACTTTATATGAAAGAGGTTTATATGAAGCGATAAAATACGATAGACAAAATCCTATCTCTGAACGTGATGACATATTCTTGCACTTTACATCAAAATTAACTACTTGTTTATCTTTATGACATATCCTACATGAATATTCTTAGTAAAAGTTGTTACATGTTGATAAATTTTCATCAGTGAGTTTCTCTTCATAGGTCTGTGTTCTCAGCGCCGTGTCTTGATAAGACCCAGGTTGTCCAAAAAGAACTCAGCAGTTGCTTTGCTCATGCTTTAATGATCAGGAAATTAAAATTTTTGGAAAAAAAATTGTTTGATGATAAGGCAGTCGGGAATTTGCAGATATCTGAGCCCAGTGGAGATGCATTTTTATGTGCAGTTTGCACACTTCCTGTTCAGCTGCAATTGCTGCGCAATGCTGATTTTGGCGTTAGTTGCAGAGAGCACAACCTCAGCTGTTATTGAGACTTTGATGCCCAACACATTCATAACTCATAAATGAGTTCAGCTTGAAGGAAGCGACTCTCCCCACTTTGACAAAAACGTGACATAGAGAGGGTGATTTGCTTGCCGCTATGAAAATTTGGAATTGTATGATTGGAAAATGGAAAAGATTCTTTGAAGTTGTTTCCTGTCGACTAATAACAGTTTTCTGCATGATTGTGCAGTTAACCTTTTTCTTTGTGAACACGTTGACATTTGTTTGTCAATTAGTTAATTAATTATTATAATTTCTGAAAGAATTGGATTATTCATTTTGTGTTGTGGGAGATTGTTTGACATTTACAGGAATTTCCTGGAGTGAAATGGTTCATTGTTAGTGCAGAAGTTAAATTTCTTACTTTCTGTTGCAGATCAGGATCATCTCTAAATCTAAGATGGCTGCTTCCTATTTGTGTGTGTTGCTCTTAGCAACAGGACTCTGTTTGTGTTCCACAATGCAAGTCAGACGGACATTTAGAGACCCAAGTGGCAAAAAACTTCAACATATAGCCCTTCATGCTCAAACAGGGAATATATTCGTAGGTGCTACCAACAGGCTACATAAACTCTCTCCAGAGCTGTTTCTTATTCAGAGTGCCTCAACAGGACCAAGGGAAGATAACTCTCAGTGCCCACCACCGTTACTTCCATGCGAGAAAGAAAAAAAACAAACTAGTAGCCAAACCAAAGGATTAGTCATTGACTCTATGCAAAACACACTTATTTTATGCTCTAGTCTTTTTCATGGATTTTGCCAAAAGGTTTCATTGAAGAATATCACCCATGTTGAAAAGTTATTCCTGAAACCTGTGGTGCCTAATGATAAATCATCAAGTGTCATGTTCATTGCACCCAGTGTAAATTCAGAGCTGGCTTTGTACGTTGCAGCTACCTACAGCAGTAATGGAATAAGCACTTATCGGAATATGGTTCCCAGTTTAAGTAGTAGACGACTAACCGACCTGGAATTTTCTTATCGAGATTCTTTTGGAGCAACCGAGAAAAACATATTGGAAAAGTTCCGTAGAAGCTTTAAAATTCGTTTTGTGGATGGTTTCTCGAATGAAGGATTTGTCTATTTTGTGTCTGTGCAGAAAGATAATGTAAATTCAAGCAGGTATATTTCCAAGATCAGCCGAATTTGTCAAGAGGACAAGTACTTTTACTCCTATGTAGAGCTGCCACTTTTCTGTGAAAATGCCAGTGGTCAGAGGTATGACATCATCCAGGGAGTCCAGGTTCACGAAGGGAGACTGTACACAGTCTTCTCACAGAATATCACCTCTTCCACAATGCCACCAGGAATGTCTGCGTTTTGTGACTATGATATGGCAGACATTGACCAATTGTTCAACAAGACTGTCAGCGACTGCTTTCAGGGTAAAGGGACAATTGGACCAGAGTTCTACACACAGAGACACACCTGCAAGAAAACAGTGAGTATTTGTAACCAATTTTTTTACCAATTTGAAAAGATATAAAGAACTGGACAGTTTATGTTCCCAGTACCCCATGTTTGTCAGCTGAGTTTAAAGGTAGGTGATCATGTTAATTGTTGTGAATGAATTATGCTTAAAAAGTTGACCACCAATGGAGCTGTCAGATGGAAACTTGTTGATATCATATCTAGGAACCAGTGATCATTGCTCATACTATGGACCATTCCTGTCTTGTCAGGTTCCTGTTCCACAACGCTATCTAAAAGCTACAACTGTCATAAGTCTGTGACAAAGTTTAAGAGTTATGCGATCTCAGTGCTACGATTGCCTGTTGGATGTCTTTGTGTGACTAAACCAGAGAAAACTTCAATGAGTTTTAATCACATGATTTAAAAATGCAAACAACCTTTCATACCTTGGCATTAACAGATTTGAATTGTTACACAACGAGGTTTTGATTCCTCTGTAAACCTGATCCATTTTATGGATGAAAAGGTGTCATGTTTGAAGTGGAAGCTGAATACCACCTTTGTAATTAATTAGATAATGGTGTCTCTGATGAGAAAGATCACGGTCATGAAATGAAAAGGTTATCAGAGACTGTAGCCAGTCACAGACAGTTTGATTAGAAGTAGCCTAGGTTGACATTTCCCTGCTGGATAGACCATGTGGAACTGATGGCTAACTTTGCGATTTACCTCCAGGCCTATTGCAAGGCATTTGATGGATTTCAGAGAAATCTATTCCCGGAAAGAAGATCCCGCTGATAAAAAAAGCCAGTGTCAAGTTGTTCTGAAGCTTCAACAAGAAAAACAGTTTTAAGTTTCTTTGAGGGTGATAGGGCAAAGTCTTGACTGTTATTGTAGAAAGATGTTTCTTTCTCTTGTTGATTTCGGGCCCCTTTTTTCAGTATTTGCAGTATAACGTATGTGGCTTCCTGAGCAGTCTTTTCCACAATGTTTCATCATCTGTCCTGAATTAACTCCCATACTTGAACAATCTAACAACGGTCCTCGCCATAGAATTATTTTGTGTGACAGGGCCTTGGCCTCTCTTAAAATAAAGCCCAAGTCCTATATTAAGGCTCGATGCTTTTTCTAGCCAGAGGTGTATGTTTGATACGACGGATACAAACTCAGTTGTAAATTGGTTGACTTTGAAACTACACAAGACTATTGATAATTTCTGTAGAAATAAGCAGACATTAATCATCAACATGTACTTTAGAAATGATAAACTTACTCAAGGCTTAATGGTGTCCATTAACTTTATGTCTGACTGTTAAACAGTTACGTCCATAAACTCCTTCATTTTCCTTGTTTGCAACCAAACTGTGGAAATGAGAGACCTTTTGACTTTGTCATCATGCTGTGTAGTGGAATAATAGCATTGTGACATGACTGTATGTAGGACAATGTCCTGCCTTGTGACATGACTAGATGAAGGACCACGCCTGCCTTGTGACATGACTAGATGAAGGACAACGCCTGCCTTGTGACATGACTAGATGAAGGACAACGCCTGCCTTGTGACATGACTGGATGAAGGACAACGCCTGCCTTGTGACATGACTGGATGAAGGACAACGCCTGCCTTGTGACATGACTGGATGAAGGACAACGCCTGCCTTGTGACATGACTGGATGAAGGACAACGCCTGCCATGTGACATGACTGGATGAAGGACAACGCCTGCCTTGTGACATGACTGGATGAAGGACAACGCCTGCCTTGTGACATGACTGGATGAAGGATGCCTGCCTTGTGACATGACTAGATGAAGGACAACGCCTGCCTTGTGACATGACTAGATGAAGGACAACGCCTGCCTTGTGACATGACTGGATGAAGGACAACGCCTGCCTTGTGACATGACTGGATGAAGGATGCCTGCCTTGTGACATGACTAGATGAAGGACAACGCCTGCCATGTGACATGACTGGATGAAGGATGCCTGCCTTGTGACATGACTAGATGAAGGACAACGCCTGCCTTGTGACATGACTGGATGAAGGATGCCTGCCTTGTGACATGACTGGATGAAGGACAACGCCTGCCTTGTGACATGACTGGATGAAGGACAACGCCTGCCTTGTGACATGACTGGATGAAGGACAACGCCTGCCTTGTGACATGACTGGATGAAGGACAACGCCTGCCTTGTGACATGACTAGATGAAGGACAACGCCTGCCTTGTGACATGACTGGATGAAGGACAACGCCTGCCTTGTGACATGACTGGATGAAGGACAACGCCTGCCTTGTGACATGACTAGATGAAGGACAACGCCTGCCTTTGACCATGACTGGATGAAGGACAACGCCTGCCTTGTGACATGACTAGATGAAGGACAACGCCTGCCTTGTGACATGACTAGATGAAGGACAACGCCTGCCTTGTGACATGACTAGATGAAGGACAACGCCTGCCTTGTGACATGACTAGATGAAGGACAACGCCTGCCTTGTGACATGACTAGATGAAGGACAACGCCTGCCTTGTGACATGACTAGATGAAGGACAACGCCTGCCTTGTGACATGACTGGATGAAGGACAACGCCTGCCTTGTGACATGACTGGATGAAGGACAACGCCTGCCTTGTGACATGACTGGATGAAGGACAACGCCTGCCTTGTGACATGACTGGATGAAGGATGCCTGCCTTGTGACATGACTGGATGAAGGACAACGCCTGCCTTGTGACATGACTGGATGAAGGACAACGCCTGCCTTGTGACATGACTGGATGAAGGATGCCTGCCATGTGACATGACTGGATGAAGGACAACGCCTGCCTTGTGACATGACTAGATGAAGGACAACGCCTGCCTTTGACCATGACTGGATGAAGGACAACGCCTGCCTTGTGACATGACTGGATGAAGGACAACGCCTGCCTTGTGACATGACTGGATGAAGGACATCTGTAGGACCCTAATGTAAAAGTTTTACATGTTTTGATTATTTTTTACCCTATTGAAAATTCAATTAAGTTATTTAGGATTTTATCTTTAACACTGCTAATATCCAAGGCATGTTTCACAAGGACCTGAGGTTTTCATGCTCAACTATGGTTGAAAGTAAAGATTAGTTTTTAAGTCTTGTTTATGCATAGGCACATTAAATAGAAGAGATTCAAGCTAGATACATACACTTAAACTCATGTGTGTACTTCATAGGCATCTTAATGAACTGGAGTTATGTATTGGTTCATAACACTGACACACTTGAGATTGTTCTGCAAACCTAATCGCATTTCACGTCCTATCTTTCGTTTCCATTTTGAATATCATTTCTATGGTGTTACAAGAATCTTGTAAGAGCTGGCACAAGGAAACACTATCGGAGACTTCAAACAGAGTTAGGAAAAGCATGCATGTGTACTTCTGGTTAAGGGAAAGTGATTTGTAAGTTGAGTTCCCTGAATTATGCAGGCAGCTGCCCTTGATAACATCCAAGCCTTCCTCTTCTGACCCAATCTCTGTACACTCAAAGCACCACAGCCATTGCTGACTTGAAAAAAAGCTCTGAAAGAGGTGCCTCTTGACTGAAGGAGCAGTCTTCGGTCTGGCTTCAGTTGGCCTCTTGAATTAGGGAAAAAATTCATTTTGAATAAATTGAAAAAAATAATTGTTCAATAATCAGTGGAAGGTTGAGGTTATCTCTTACCGTGCAAAGTCACATCTACCACAAAGTGGGTAATAACAAATCCATGATGCGTAACGCTGCTGTTCTGGGGCAGACTGTTCAGGTGATCTGTGGGGATTTATTCCCTGCATGGGTTCAGTGTGCGAATCCCATCTTGATGTGTCCCCTGCCATGATATTACTTAAGCCATACATTCTCACGGGCAGGACGACGATGGTTAAGTTTTCATCTGGTTTGTTTGAATCATGTTTCTAAAGTTTCAAGAAAGCTTGTATGCTTTGAAACTCCTTACTGAGTATTGCCATTATTTTTTCCCCAAAAAATTGTGGGAACATTCATGACCATTCATTCTGTTTCTTTTCTAATGAAGGGTTTCCTTTTCAATATTATGTATCTCCAGACATCAAGATGTAGGAAATTTATGAAGTACTTAATGTCTCTTCTGCAGTAATGAAGTAGTTGGTGGACCTTCAGTCAGTTTCAAGAGGTTGTAGCTTGCCTGATGGTTTCTACATTTGGGTCTGCGTCTCGGACTCAATCCAGATTCCAGATGGGATAGCTCCCATTCTTGTACTCATCTCCAGAAATACCCTGCAAAAATTGATGCTATCTCTTCTGTTCCTCACTCCAATCTGGAGGCGGATAGGACACATTTGTTTTGAAGCTGCAGATGAAGTACTTGAAGTGCTAAAACCAAGATGGCTGCCTATCATGCAAAGTGAGCATCTATTTGTGGCCTTTGGCTGTTTGGGGATGTTCTTGTAGCAGTTGCTGTCAAACCGTCAGCTGCTTGGTGAAAATATCCCATCTCCCAAAACACTTTTGTTTCCGTTTTTTTCAGGATGAAAAAAAACCCTGTCTGTTAATAAGAATGCTTTTAATAAAAATGGTGTTTGATGTTTGGGGGAACATGTGGTGGAATAGACTTGCTTGACAGTCCAAAATGTATTCAACATTGGAACAACAGTTCCTTTCTTGTCTTGAAAACAGAAAACATTCGTAATGTGCTCTGGAGAAATCTCAACAAAGGATATTGAGATAAAGACAAACACAACATTAGGTCAGCTGGAGATTGTACTGTGCCATTTGTTAGATTAATCCATGTCCCCACAACCCATCTTTGTGTTAACTTATAGACATCAATGACTTCAGATTTCTGATAAAAGATGAAAACAAAAAAGTTTGCTTCAGCTGGAGATTGTAATTTTCAGCTTTACTGTTTGTATAATTGATCTAACTTACTACAAAACATTCTTCTTTTTTTCAACTTTATAAACTTTTACAACTTTAAAATATCTTCAAAACATTTTCAACATTGATTTTTTGTTTGATTTTTTATTAACAA